TGATACAACTCACTTTAGGAGTGTTTAAGGACCCGCGGGAGATCTGCATTTAAGATTTAAGAGTGGTGATACATTTCAGTAGCCCAACTGGAAAACACAATAGCCCCGGGGACGTCGGGCTAGCGATTTTGCGAGCCCTGAGGTAGAAAAATAAAGTTCTTTATGAACCGCAGGATTGCTTGTAATAAAGATTTCAATGCAAAAGGAAAGGCAGTAGAGCAGACTATTTCTGTCAGTGGTAAGTTTGTGATAACGTAAGAAAAGTAGTACTAGTTTAAATGTTTTGCCACTTGCTTGAGAAACTTAATATATAAATCTAGACCGGGGACGTCGGGCTAGCGATTTTGCGAGCCCTGAGGTAGAAAAATAAGGTTCTTTATGAACCGCAGGATTGCTTGTAATAAAGATTTAAAAGCAAAAGGAAAGGCAGTAGAGCGGAACTGTTTCTGTAAGTGGTAAGTTTTAATTTAGAATGTTTGTGATAACATAAGAAAAGTATTTAAAAAGTTTTGCCTTAGCATCTTAATATATAGTTGTGCTGTGTGTAAGCTATTGTGCAACAATTGCATGAGCGTAAAAACAAAAATGCACTTCATGATCGAACATTTAGATGAAATATATATTTTTGAAAAATGTCTAAAAAATGCTCCCCTCCAGCCCTAAAAAAAATAAAAAAATAAATAATCCCCTCTCACAAGAGGGAAATTCCCCTCATTTTCAAAAATGAAATCCAGGCCCTTAATAAACGTCTAAAAATCCTGATTGAAGTATTACTATAAATAATTCTACATGATAAAAAGAAGGCTTTAAAAAGGTCGGTATCGGTGATAAATAAGTACTGTAGCAGTATAGGGAGGGTATCAAATGGTTATACCATGACACTTTGATATATAGACCATGGTATTTGCGAGATACTTAAAAAATAACATGATTTTTTAGTACTTCTTTGTTCGTGAACCCAAGACTAAAAGATATAATCAACTCAAAGAACACGGTGAAACAACAACGATGATTAAACGTAGTATCAGTGAACGCATGTGGTAATGATAATGAGATGTCAAATAATACTCTGAGGTGAGTTTCACTGCAAACTAACCGCGATGTAACCTGTAAATATCCAATACATAACCTCTAATAATATATTAGTATAACTTGCAATTATTGAGGACTTAACTGAAGAGCTTCGTATGGGTTTATTTCTCTAGCATTAGCATTAGCAATATCAAAACAAAGACAAACCGCATCATTTAAGCTAAAGACAAACAACACAACATTATAATGACTTTAAAGCTCATGTCTGGTACACGCAGTCCTAACAACAACACCGCAGTGAATAAGTGAATTATTATTATTAGGGAAATTCCCCTCATTTTCAAAAATGAAATCCAGGCCCTTAATAAACGTCTAAAAATCCTGATTGAAGTATTACTATAAATAATTCTACATGATAAAAAGAAGGCTTTAAAAAGGTCGGTATCGGTGATTGTATCGGCAGATACTGCTTTCTGTGATCGGCCTCAACAATCCTGACCGGAGCACCCCTACTATATGATATCATTTCCTGTTAGGTTCCCCCCTCATGTTTTTGCATTTGCTGGATGGACAAAGATGTTTCAAACATTAATAAGCAGTTTCGAAATAATAATAAATGAGTATGCAAGGCTGCCAGGTTTCATTCATTTAATGAGGCTTTTTTTTTTTTAAACAATATCTTAATGATTATTTTTACATCACAATAAAGCTGCATCCCCCTAACATTTTTACATGATTAAAATAATTTAAAAAAAAACATGCTTATCATGGAAGATTCAAATCTGCAAATATGAACTGCATTATTTATAGACGCCAGTCACTTCACTGACCCCAAACAGAAAATGATGAAACGACTTCATACAGTATTTAATAACACACAATAATACAACACAATAGGAAACAGTGACTGAGAAAAGCTGTTATGTAGTTTAATGCTTATATATATATATATATATATATATATAAATAAAAGTACTGTAGCAGTATAGGGAGGGTATCAAATGGTTATACCATGACACTTTGATATATAGACCATGGTATTTGCGAGATACTTAAAAAATAACATGATTTTTTAGTACTTCTTTGTTCGTGAACCCAAGACTAAAAGATATAATCAACTCAAAGAACACGGTGAAACAACAACGATGATTAAACGTAGTATCAGTGAACGCATGTGGTAATGATAATGAGATGTCAAATAATACTCTGAGGTGAGTTTCACTGCAAACTAACCGCGATGTAACCTGTAAATATCCAATACATAACCTCTAATAATATATTAGTATAACTTGCAATTATTGAGGACTTAACTGAAGAGCTTCGTATGGGTTTATTTCTCTAGCATTAGCATTAGCAATATCAAAACAAAGACAAACCGCATCATTTAAGCTAAAGACAAACAACACAACATTATAATGACTTTAAAGCTCATGTCTGGTACACGCAGTCCTAACAACAACACCGCAGTGAATAAGTGAATTATTATTATTATAAGGAGTTTCCTTCACTCAGGCCAACTAATGTATTAGCTATACAAACACAGTCAGCCTCATTGGTCACTGCCTCGCTAATATTAGCCTCTTGCGTCCATGCAGCGCACGCATTAACATGTTAACTTCATGGTAATGTTTCTATAAGGTAAGGAGGGGTAAGATCTCACCGTTATCAGTCCATCAGGAGTGGTTTTACTGCAGTAAACAGGTCTCTGCTAGCAGACGCTAGCGGCGCCTTCGCGAGGCGGCTGTGCGCGTCAGGTCAACGCTCGCGCCGGCGAGAGAGGGTTATGATCACAGACTGTTCTGTTATGATCATAAACTGTACGGTTATGATCACAGAAATATTATCGTGACAGAAAGATCACTAGCAGCACAACACAAGGGTGACTAAAGGGGCGGGGCGGGGCGTAGTGACCGGAAGTGAGAGCGTTTCAGAGCGGCACGGGTTCCGCTTCTCTTGTTTGTTGTATCCTTGAAATATTTATACATTTTTATGTATAGAGTAATGACCACGCCACTGATTATGACAACAGCTTCATTTTGATTTGTGAATTTTATTTAGTAGCTTATACATTAATATATTGATTCTTCACTTTAGTTTCATTTCAAATGTCTTAATGCAAAGAAACGTTTTCAAGTTAGTTATCAATAGTTTTACTGTATGCTTAATCCTTTTTTTCTGAATTTGTAATGCAATGCATGTATTAGGGCTTATGTTTAAAGTTTTTTTTCAATTTATTTGACGTTTTTTTTTATATGCTTACGTTTGACACTTATTATAAATCATTTTATTCAATTTTATTCTAAACTTTCACTCATATGAAATATCTTTAGTCCTTCCAGCTTTTTACATCTCAAGGACTCCTGCATTCTGAAATGAATGAGTTTGGAAATAATGCAAAGAAACTACACTACATATGCATATTTATTCTCCATCGTAATCACCGTCATTGCAAAGCTACTAAACACAATAGTGCTGTTACAGTGCAATAATATTCAATTGTGGCAGAAAATACCAAATGTGCCTATGAACAGGAAGCTCACTTCACTTTTAAATAATCAGCTGATCATCTCTCAGAAATATGTGCATAAACTAAAACTTATTTTACCGTTTCCACACCGAAGAGAAAATTCAATACAATTATATACATCAAGAAACTGACATCCACAATTCAAAATAAAACTGTAAAAGGTAATAATCATGGCATATATTAAACTGCATCTGAAAGCATATTACTGTTTCTATATTACTATTTTACAACTGGCATTCTCTCAGCTTCATTCATTTTAGACCATTTCCTTAATGATTCCAGGAGGTTTTGATCGGCTAATAAAATAAGACCATATAGTTACTATTTTGTTACCACCCAACCCTCATTAATCATTATATAATATGTACAATCATTCATTCGTAAACTGGAGAAATTATTCATGTAACATTCACTTCAAGTAACATTTACTCACATTTGTGAAGATACTTCTTCATGAAGACTTCAAGAGACCTTGCAAGGTCTTGCAAGATATGAAAAAAATCCTTTCATTTGCCTTTATCTACCTCTAATTCGCATATGGCATAATCCTACACAACCCTGTAGGAGCTACTAATTATGATAATAAAGAGACTAATACTAAAATATACAGTACTAGTTAAAAGTTAGGACACACTTGACTGAATTTTTTCCTTATGATCTTATGAGTGAAGGAAAAGCAGCCAGCAGATGTCCAGCACACATGAAACACCTTCAATACTGTTTATTTTACTTAAGCACAAGATGCTCCACATGAGGTTTTTTAAGAGAAGTGTGCTCAGCTGGACTCTAGATGAAGGCTGGCGACTGAATAAGCTAAATATGTTGATTTGTTTGACATTTTCTGGTCACTACATATTTTGCACATTTTCTTTTGTGTTATTTCACAGTTATAATTGCTTTACTATAATTCCACAATGCGGAAAATATCAAATATAATTTGAAAATATAATAAATAAAGAGCAGGTATGTCCAAATGTTTTGACACATACAATATGTGTTGGAACAGTTAACCAGTTAAAGGAGCAGTTAACCAGTTCACCCAAAAATAAACCTTTCCTGAAAACATACTCACCCTCAGATCATCGAAGAAGTAGAAAATGTTTGTTTCTTCATCAGAACAGATTTGGAGAAATTTAGCATTACAAAACATCATCCATCAAAAAACTGGTGGATTACTTGTGGATTATTGTGATATTTTTATCAGCTGTTTGGGCTCTCATTCTGACGGCACCCATTCACTGCAGAGGATCCATTGATGAGCAAGTGATGCAATGCTACATTTCTCCAAACTCATTTACATCTTGGATGAGCTGAGGGGGAGTAACTTTTCAGAAATGTTGTATTTTTGGGTGAACTATTCCTTTAACTTGACTAGTCATGTGTGAAATGACTTTTTATTTACCTTTTGAGGTAAATAAAAAGAAAAAAAAAACAGCTGTCTTTTACAATTTGTCATCATCGTGTGTGTGTGTATGTTGCTGTTTTTGTGGTGGGGTAGCAGGTAGCGGCTCATTTCTATCTACCGGACACTGTCCACCTATTTTGGTTATCAACTCTATCCTTGGAACTTGTTAACCTCATAACGTCCCCATTTAGTGATCAAACAGTACAGTAGCACAGAGTGTGTGTGAATCTAGGGCATGGACATGGACAGCGCAGAGGCGTCAGTGCTGCGCGGGTCCTTCACACCGATGATCAGGTCATTGGTCCTCCGGGTCCCTTCTACCAGTGAGATGATGTCCACCTTACGCACATCATGACCCTTCTGCATCAGAGACTTCACATCCGCCTCAGCAAATTTAGCTGGATAGAGAACAAGAGAATTAAAGTGGAACTCCACCCTCAAAATCACACATCTACAGTCAAAAATCACACATCTGCAGTCAAAATCACACATCTAGTCAAAAAATGACACACTGCAGTCAAAATATCACATCTACAGTCAGAATCACACATCTGAAGTCAAAATCACACATCTGCAGTCAAAAATCACACGTCTGCAATTAAAGCCACACATCTGCAATCAAAATAAATATCTACAATCAGAAATCATACAACAATCACTTCTAGTCAAAATTCACACATCTGCAGTCAAAAAAATCACACATCTGTAGTCAAAATCACACAACTGCAGTCAAAATCACACGTCTGCAGTCAAAATCACACGTCTGCAGTCAAAATAACACATCTCCAGTCAAAATCACTCATCTCCAGTCAAAATCACACATCTGCAGTGAAAAATCATACATCTGCAGTCAAAATCACACATCTACAGTCAAAATCACACATCTGAAGTCAAAATCACACATCTGCAGTCAAAAATCACACGTCTGCAGCCAAAATAAACATCTACAATCAGAAATCACACAACAATCACATCTAGTCAAAAATCACACATCAGCAACATTTTCTTGGGGAAATCTAGGAATTCTGGGGGGTGCTCTGGAGGAGTGGGCACTGGAGCGAGCTCTGGGACTGGAGCCGACACTGGAGCGAGCTCTGGGGCTGGAGCCCTTTCTGGGCAGAACTGGGGGTCAGGAGCCCTCCCTGGGCTTAACTGAGGGTCAGGAACCCTCCCTGGGCTTAACTGGGGGTCAGGAGCCCTCCCTGGGCTTAACGGGGAATCAGGAGCCCTCCCTGGGCTTAACGGGGAAACAGGAGCCCTCCCTGGGCTTAACGGGGAATCAGGCGCCCTCCCTGGGCTTAAAACGCCCTCGCATAACTGACAGGGTCGGGGTTCGCCTGAGCCACGGCGATTAACATCGCTCGTTCCTCCATTTGGACGGGGAGAAACGAACGGGAAAACAAAACAAAAACACTATTCAAAAAATTAAAAACAAACACGGGTAGAAGGGGCGCCGCTTACTGTCACTTTTAGGTCTGGAATTCTGTCACGGTTGGTGGTAGTGTGACGAGCACGGAGCGAGGAACGAGGAGACCAGGAATACAAAACAAAAGAGTTTAATTATCTTTTTCAGGGACTCACACGTAGCACAAAGAGTTGACAAACATACAATTCCAGACAAGGGAGAACAGAACGGGCTAGAACTAAATAGGGCAGATAACGAGGGGCAGACAGGTGATGGGGATAACTAATAAAACGTCCGTCTCCGAGAGTGGAGAGAAGGAGGAGTGAATGACGTGATATGAAGTTGTCATCAGTTTGTGGTGAGGAGAATTGGCCACTGATGGTTCTTGTTTTATTTGTGAAGAAAATTGCACAGTCATCAGCT